CACCAACAGGTGCTACCAGATGGTAGAAGACGTATTGAGCTGCATCCAGAGACGCAGGAGATCGTTGAAGTCGTAAATACAATAGGATGGTTTATGAGGTGCCGCGGCGAAAGGGAAAGCTGACGAATCTTCTGAACGGTTGGACTCATTCAGCCCGAAAGTTCCTATCACTCGTGGTTGGTCCGGTGTCCCTACCTATGGTGATACAGCTGTACCCGTCACAGATCTAGTATGCTTCTTACGTCCCTGCTCTTCGCGATGATACCTTTCTAGTTTAGGTCATTTGCATTCATGGCATTGGTGAGCATCTCTGGTCGCAGCAAGCCTATTCCCAGCCCGGTTTAGTCGAGCAATGTCGAGGTTTCCGTTCCATGGTCAACGGACCAGCGTCCGGCTCTAGAATTGAGTGAGATTCCACGTGTCGATCCTTACTGGTCTTCACAACCTCCCTCATCATAGGAGTCTTCTCTCGGACTTGGTAGCATCCATGAGCTCGCAAAAATGCCATCGATCAGATTTCTCCCCGTAGAATGGCATTCCGTTATCCACACTCGAGATGACGCCGTTAAGCGGCAATTGGAGGCTATCACTCTCCCATCTGTGCCCATCCTACGTAATAATGACCTTACCTTTATAATACGCTACCCTGGCCGCGCAGGTTCTATGACCAACGACTGCATTTCCGATGTTTTATTCTACCAAGGCTCTGAGTACCAGTATAAAATTAGAGAAGAAGTTGTACAGAACATCAATAATACGGTGCGTTGTGATTTCGTCCCCTATTCCGATGCAGTCTTCACTCATACACACTTCGCCTTCATCGTTGCTCAAGAAATTGCCAGACCGTTTTACTGCTTTTTGTATCAGAAAATATCTGATAGCAGGTGCCATCTTCCATTAGATCCTCCAGTGAGATGAGGCTCTAAAATGCAGCACCCACATTTGCCACGTTCACCGAAGTATCGTTGCCATCGGTCGAACTGCCAATGGTAGTTCGACGGTAGTCTACCATCCCTAGCACTACTGTAGTTCGCGGAATAAGGCTTTCCATGATGTACCAAGACTACTTTACTATTCCCTTTCTGTCGTTAGGTGGGGTCCTATTTGGCCTCCCTGGAGTCCTCAAACCCACCGCCACGGATATCATTCATATGTCACTCACTTGGCTCGGTGATTGTATACGACGTTCTGCAAAGACAAAGAGACATTAGTGTAATCACGTGTGCATGAGTTTTATACCACCCCTTCTTTACATCCCAGATACCTGCCAGAGAGCGTCTAAGCTTCGGTCCTCATTGTCGTGTAGCTTGTCTATTCTTGATCGGCTCTCCTGTGGCGCTCTTCCTCACCTGCCGAGGTTCCTGTGCTAATATCATACCAGAAGTGAGTGCATTTCTATCAGTCCTCAGAGACTTCAGAGGTGTTCAATTTAGCACATCTGTGATCGTATGTTCAACGTCTTCAACCCAACGGACCCCGTGGCGTACCGCATAGAGCCCCTCTTGAGCCTCCGGTTGAAGGACGCTCCTCCGGAGCATGTACTGTACCATGGCAATCATCTTTCTATCTCCTGGGCCTTGCTGTAGGTGCCTGATTATGGTGGAGGAGGTGGTGTGAGAGCCCATGTACAGTTGAAGGGGGTCATGAAGGCCTTGGCAGACTCCGCCTATGACGTTGCCACCAAGGATGGTGGTATAAAGAAAGCGTTTATAGCTCCGATGAAGTCTTTGCTTGGGCTGGATGCGGATGAGGTACAGTAGGTGACTTCCGCTGTAAGCAATAGACAAGTCGGTCGTAGATAGCGAGTCTCCAGACAGCAATTGAAAGCATCAAAACGATCAATGGTGGAGAGCGTATCGACTGGGTAAGCTCGTGTTGAGGAACCGCATCGAAAATGATACCTCAGGAGCTTCAGGAGACCTTGATTGAATCTGCTAACGATTACGTCACAGCTGTTGTTAGCCACAATCGCTACTTCAATCACGTGGATTTCGCTGCCTTCGTGAAGGACAAGCTGACGAACAGCTCCTCATCGTCTGCGGCGTAACTTAGTCATCATCCTCGAGTGAAGCTTTCGCGCGAAGGCTGCCCGTGCACAACAGAGATGGGGTGTGAGTGGAATGGAAAATACCCTGATGGTGATCAGGATGATGATGTGGGTATTCTGGCTACTCCTGGTGTGAATCGTTTACATTTTGCTATCTTTCTACCATAACCATGTTGTGTATCTCGCTATGAGATGAAAGTTGCAGTGTTGTAGACACTTGCTGAACATGGGCACGCAATGGGGTCTGGTTGAGCTCGGTCACCTCGAATTCTCGGCACGCTGGGGTTTCCAATACTTCTTGCTAGGGGTGCTGCTATGAGCGTAACCTGTCCACGTTACTCGCGAGAAACCCTGTAAGAAAATGATCATCTCCGTCTAGCGTCCGCTCTTCACTCGGTATGTATCCCATAACGATTCACAGAATTACGAGAGAGGTCTGTTGTGCCCTGATGGCAATACCAGGTTTAAAATAGTCGGTTAGCAAATAATCCAGAAGGCACTGTCCTTCCCGTATCTCTGCAGCAAGATATCGTATCCCCTAGCTCCTGGAACAGCCTTTCTGAGGGCATTGATCACTGACCTGCGAAAATCCGAAGAGGGAGAGTTCATTCCGAATAAATGATATCAGTGAGATACGCGCGAACACAACCTCAAAGGGGGGGGGGGGGACGAAATCATACTCTTGGTATGTCACTATTGTAGTGAATAGATTCCTCAGTATTCTGGTGGTGATACTGCTCTACAAGGGCTTGTACTCTCGGTACTGTATATGTTTATGGTGCATAGTCCTTTTAAGTTCATTTCATGCCATTCTAGACAGCTACAATTCCTAGAGTTAGTATGCGCTGAAAAAACTATGTGCACTTGAAAAGTGTAACTATTTACTTTGTGTTAACCGAATGGAGTAAAACCCTCGATGAGTAATTCGGCGAAACAGACAACTTGCTGGGAAGTTTACAAGAACCTGACGTACGTGATGTAACTGAGACATAAATACTATTATCAGCAGCTTGGCGCAGTGGATAGCGTGTTGGGCTCATAACCCAAAGGTCCCTTGATCGAAACAAGGAGCTGCTACTTTAGACATGGCGAAGTGGATAGCATGGTGGAAGATGTGCAAGTACCTGAAATACTCGATGTAACTGAGTAACACTTCCTAATACTATCAGCAGCTTGGCGCAGTGGATAGCGTGTTGGGCTCATAACCCAAAGGTCCCTTAATCGAAATAAGGAGCTGCTACTTTACCCATGGCGAAGTGGATAGTATGGTGGAAGATCTGCAAGTACCTAAAATACTCGATGTAACTGAGTAACACTTCCTAATATTATCAGCAGCTTGGCGCAGTGAATAGCGTGTTGGGCTCATAACCCAAAGGTCCCTTGATCGAAACAAGGAGCTGCTACTCTACGCATGGCGAAGTGTATAGTATGGTGGAAGATCTGCAAGTACCTGAAATACTCGATGTAACTGAGTAACACACCCTACTATTATCAACAGCTTGGCGCACTGGATAGCGTGTTGGGCTCATAACTCAAAGGTCCCTTAATCGAAATTAGGAGCTGCTATTCAATACATACTTCTGTCAACATTAACATAAAACAAAGAATCCAGGCTCACCTTGAATATCAGGTGTAACCGAATGAGGTGAATGGATCGATGTAGTCTCCAGCAACTATACGTAATGCACTTACACTTGAATCATAACTCCAGTGCTTGAAGACGTCTTAGTCTGAATAACGAGTCGCTCGAATGTAGCATCGTATTAGATTTTAGGAGAGTAATCACATGCGGTTCGTCTGCACCACTCTCGCAAACGTGCATCTTTAGTGGTTCGGAGTTCTGTGTAGTACTGACAATTCCATTCCAGGTTCCGTCCGTCCAAAAGCCGAGGTGATACCGCAGTGCGCATCTCTTCTTTGAGCAGCACGCTCACAGAGCCCTTCTTCCCGGCCGAGCGTATAGTTATGGTTACTGCTTCAGTACCGTCATTACATTTCATTGAAATGATTTCAAAGATGAGTGTCTAATCTTTAGAGTGCTAGAATTGCGTTATACTAACTTACGATCAACATGAATCATGATGGCTATTCGATTGGCCGGCATCGAATTTCGCCTGGGACTCGTTTAGTTCAGGGCACGAACCAGAGTTTTCTCAGGTCATATAAACACATCATCGTTGTGGGAACGGTCTTCAACACGTCCTCTGGATTTGTCTCGTCCACTACAAGAATCTGATGTTATCCGGTCTTTTCCCAACCAAGCGGAAGAAGATGGTCCAGCCTGGATGTCTCGTTGTAACATCCCAGTTCCCACCCCTATCGAGACTTTACACAACGCACTCTGTACACACACAACTCGCCGTACCTTCACAACCAATCAACGATACGGAGGGGTAAATACGTGCAAAAGGTGTGGTTTAAATATGTGTAGACTTCATTCAAGATTCGCATAACGATCCATCATCTCCGCAACCGTAATGAACTTATGCGACACTGCTTCTTCGGTGACGTCGACTTGGCGTAGTCCAGACCTGATCCACCACACGATACATGATGCCGTGCTTGGACGCATCTCATCACCGTGTTTCGTCTATGACAAAGTCGCCCATCCCACTAAGTTCTAATGGATCCGCATCAGGCTCTCTACTCGAGTTTATCTGACATCCTATAGCAGTGGTCGTGATGACTTCGAGTTTATGACCAGACGGATCGGTGTACCTGAGCACATCGCAGTGATAAAACCAGCTGCTATAAATGCGTCGTGTCACCATCCTCCAGCGTTTCGGTGATAATGACCAGCAAAGATTGCCTTCACCCCCGCCTCTGAAGCGAGATGCAGGAGCCTTCCCCTGACGGATTGCGGCATATTAAAGTAACCGTCATGCTCGTTAGGATCCTTTATAAAGGGTGCGACATGTGTTAAGAGTATCTGTGTGTCGTCCTCACCCATCGCCCTGGTCTATGACCTCCTCTACTTACAATGTGCGTATACTTGGCTCTAGATGCCTCCTTCAATGTAGACTCAAGCCATTCCCACTGCTTCTTGTCCAACTCG